TTACAAGTGATGTTGAGCGTTTTTTCATATGCCTGTTGGCCATCTGCATTTCCTACTTGGAGAAGTGTCTTTGTAGCTCTTCAAGGCAGCCTTTTTTATGGGTTCATGAGGTCAAAGCTATTTTCACCGAGAACACTAGAATATTATTTGCCTTCTTCATTCTCACGCTCTCAGGACGCTACGGTGGAATTTTCCGGAAGCTACGAGATGTGCAATGACATGTTTGCTCTGACCATGAATGGAGCGGGGACTTGAATTCTTGAACTCTGCATTCTTTGCTTTATTTTCTAGTGCTCCTTGTTGTGACAACACTCAGGCCAAAGCCTGACTGAGCTCTGTCGCTAGGGGGCTGACGTCAAAAGGAGCAGGTGGAGGTGTGCTGGCCACTGTGATGGTGGAAACAATTGAACCTTGCAGGGCCTGGCTGAGCCCAGAGAGGGCCCCCCACGGGGGCCACAGGCACAGAGCCCCTGGAGATAAGGAGATGGGTTCTGGGGGTGTTACCCAAGTAGTCCTGGTCTGATGGCTGCGTGTCCTGCTCACACTTATCTGGGTGTTCCCCGCTGCAGACGGCAGCCCCGTGCGCCCTAAGGCCTTCACGGTAGTTAATCTCATGTCCTTGCTGATGCCGCCCACGTTTCTATTTCTTGCCCCGACCTTTGTCCGGCATTCCAGAAGCGTCTATCAGACTGTAGGCGGCAGACGGCAGCCTGGACGCTCTGTTACCGGAGGCCCCCCACGGGTACAGCTGCGCCCTGATCCCTGCTGGCTGGGGTTCAGGGCCAGGAGCCCCCAGAAACCCTGTCAGCTCCACCTCCGGCATCCATGCTGGGCCTGGGCTCGTCCCCCCAAGTCTGCAGGGCCTGTCCAGCTCCCGACATTCATCCCTGAGCTTCTCAGATTTCCCCACCAAAGAGGGGCCCTGGCCAGCTGCGTCTCTGCCCTCCAGGCTTCTGCTGGCCACTGTGACCTTCCTCCGGACCCCAGACCGCCCCGTCTGGCTCCCGCTTGGGGGCGGGACACACTGTCCCTGCCAGGCGGGAACTGCGGGATGCCCTCAGCCCCTAGGGTGGTGACCACACAATCTGGATGGCCAGCAAGTGTGTGGTGAACAAATATTGAGACAAGGAGTGTGTTTTCCAGAAGGATGGTGGGCCTGGCCTCATGCCTCTGGAGACGGTGGCGGGCAGGAGGGGGAGCCACACTCTTCCGCCTGTGGCCAGCCCTCGGCCCCCGGTCACCGGGGACGGCCTGAGGACTCTGCGGTAGAGGGACAGACAGGTACAGTGGAAGGGGCGGGCTGGCAGGGGCGCTGTGGCCGCAGGTCAGGGCCCAGCGAGCCCGAGCCTGACCTCCAGGGCTCACAGAGCCCCCAGGCCCGCTGGCGTCCGCAAGGGCAGTGTCAGCGGGGGAAAGGGACAGTGTGGCATCAGTGCCGACGTCCTGAGTGCTGACCAGGCCTTAGTTTTGTTTTTTGTTTTTTTTTTTTTTAAAGATTTATTTATTTATTTGTGCAGAACTGGGGTACAGGCCAGAGATGCAGAGGGTGAGAGGCTTCACCAGAGACAGAGTGGGGAGCAGAACAGGCAGATCGACGAAGTACACTGCTGAGGGGAGCAGCGGGCGGGTCAGGAGAGGTCTGCCGCGCCCTGTGGTCACCTCCGGGGCAGGCGGGAATCGAACTCATGCGGAAGTGGCTTTAGCTTCTTAGTGCTGTGCTTTAACCCGCTGCGCCACCAGGGAGGGCCAGGCCTTAGTTTTTAAACATAGAACTTTATTTCTCCTTTTAAAGGTTCATTTATTGATGCACACAAGAGCTGGGTGGAGACCAGGTGAGAGGACTCCCCAGAGACAGAGTGGGGTGCAGGACTGCAGACGGACGTAGTCCACTGCTGAGGGGAGCAGCGGGCGGGTCAGGAGAGGCCTGCCGCGCCCTGGGGGTCACCTCCGGGGCGGGGGATCGCACTCGTGCTGCAGAGGCTGGGAACAGCTTCATAGCGTTGCGCTTCAACTCCTGTGCCACCCGGGAGGCGCAGAGGTTCAGCGCCGGGACTTGGAGGGACACAGATGTCCGTCGTCTCACGCAGGTGCAGCGTCTGCTTCCATCACCGGCCTCGGTCGTTTAGGATTTCTAGACTTTACTTTCTGCGTCGGTGAAACAGCCTTGCTGCTTCATGCTCTCTGCCTCAAGGACATTGTGAAGACCGTGAAATTATTGGGTGTGTGTCAATGACAGTGGCTGTTTGTTCTTTATTTTCCAGGCAACGCCATATTCGGGTAACCTGCTCCCCAGAGGCACGGAAACGTCACCTCTGTGATCCTTCAGAGTCTGGTCTGAGTTGTTTGCAAATATAATGACACATAAAATTACGTGCTGGTGTTATAGTTGGATGCCAAACCTGGACCCCCAAACCTGCCCGCTCTAAGTGGGTTCTGTCATCCGCCGCATCAAGACATCTAAGACCGTTCATGGACCGGAGCTTTAATGCAGCGAGTGTGCAATGCAGGAAAGACAAAGAACAGAGTCTCAGTCAGACCCCCAGAGTGACCCGACCCCCCGTGGCAAAAGTCCACCCAGAGGGGCTGGCCCAGAGCAAGGCCTGAGCCCCCCACAGTCTAAAGCACCTTCCGGCGGGACCCACAGAAAAGGGTCCGACAAGGCCAGACAGTCCGGGAGGGAGAGAGCAACATCCACATCACGGTCAACGCTGCCAGTCACCTCCCGCGGGCCCCCCACGTCTGGGTCCCCCGTCTGTGTCCCCCGTCCAGGGCCAGGACGCAAGAGCCGCTTCCTCGCCGTCTCTGCTCCCTGGGCCCCTCCGGCCTCCTCCTGGCTCCATCCTGCTTCCTCCCCCTCAGCCTCCTCTCCAGAGTCTCCTCCCTGCTCAGCACCCCCCTCCCTTGGCTGGGGCAGGGCGCCTGGAACCCCCCTTTTCCTGGGGACCCCCCATTACAGTAGGATCGCCAGGAAAACCTTTTAGTAAGCTCCACCATCTTTGTTCGTTTCATCCCATGGATTAGACTTAGATGTTTGAAGACGGGATTGGAGCCAGGAAAGACGCCCTCACAGGTGGTACCCCGCATTCGCAGACACGTCCAGTCAGTGGCGGGATGTGCTGGTCACCCTGCGGCCGGGGCTGGAGGCCCTCCTGGGAGCCCTCGCTTCTGCTGGGCCCTTGAACGAGGCCTGGCTCATTGGATAAGTCGGGACTGGAGAGTGAAATAAAAGCTGCCTGTCGCCAGAGCTTTTGGGGACGTGTCCCTGGCCCGCCTGGTATGGCCCCTGGGCTCCCTTGGCCAGGTCTCGCCTGGCTGGTGTCCGGGCACCGCTTCCTGGTGGCAGGCCGCCCGCCAGTGTGCTTGGCCAGAGCCTTGGCGGCTGGAGTCCAGCCAGCCATGTGGCCAGGTGTGCTGGGCTTGGGTCCGGCCCTCTGGGCATTTGGCTTTCTGTCAGTGAAACAGTTCCTTTAAAAAATGGGCCGGTCAGCCCAGGGCCCTAACCGCCTGCCAGAGCTGGCCGGGGGGGTCAGGGATCATCAGCTCAGGTTCAGCGGAAAGGTGAGGCCCAGAGCTGAGCCTCCCTCAGCCAGGCAAACACCGGCCTTTCCCTGGGACAGCGGGGACCCGGCCTCAGAGGCCTTTGGGGGTCCCGTCCCCACGTGCACTGTTCCAATTGGGTGTGACTTAGTAGGTTTTTGGGGTCTGGGGGAGCCATTCATTCCCTTGGAAACATTTCTGAGTGTTCCCAGATGTGGAAAATAACTTAGCTCTTATCCGGTCGTGATACTGTGATTCATTATCAGCACAAACGGTCACCCGGCGTCTTTGTTACATGAATGAGGTGACTTGGGAACACCTGGGAGTAGGGGGCTGGTGGCCAGGAGCTTGGGGGAGGGGAGAGCTGGGGTCCAGCCCGGGACTGGCCGCAGGTCCTGCCAGTGTGAGTCTCCACAGAAGCCCCAAAGGAGGCCTCTGAGGACAGCAGTCCACCTCCCCCCCCCAACAGCCCCCCCCCAAGTTTCAGCCTTTATAATAAAAGGTTTGGGGGCGGCGGAAGAGACTGCGTGTCCTTCTAGCAAACTGGCCCACCTGGGCCAGGTGATCGTCGGTGTGGCCAGCGGTCAGTGGCCCCCGCAGCTGCTTGGGCTTTGGGCCAGGAGTCCGGAGGCCAGGGCCGTCTCGGAGACTGAGCCCCAGGAATCCAATCTGGGGGCGCATGGCGTCGGAACCACGGGATTCTCGGAAGCCGGTGTGGGGGTGCTCACGGGCAGGTCACGCTGGTGCTGGCATCGGACCAGGAGTCCTGAGCAAACTCAGTAAATGAAAATCTCTATTTCGGGCCCTCCCTGGGGGCGCAGCGGGTGAAGCGCAGCACTGAGAAGCTAAAGCCACTTGAGCATGAGTTTGATCCCCACCTGCCCCCCAAGGGGACCCCCAGAGCGCAGCAGACCCCTCCTGACCCGCCCGCTGCTCCCCTCAGCAGTGCGCTTGGTCCATCTGCCTGTTCTGCTCCCCACTCTGCCTCCGGGGAAGCCTCTCACTGCCCCCGCACCCCTGGCCTGCACCCCAGTTCTGTATGAATAAATAAATAGATCTTTAAAGAAAAATATTTCGGTGGGGGGCGCCGGCCCTCGGAGCAGTCCCCTTTTCCCCTCCCCCCAGGCCCTCTGGTAAGTGGAGCTGGGGTGACAGTGGGGTGCCCTCACAGGTGTCATGGCCTGGAGGAAAGCGGCCCCCTGACTCCACCCCGCCAAGAGCTTCCTCTGCGCCAGGCCAGCCGGAGGTTCACTGACCCCTGCTCGCTCCTGGCTGCACAAACACCCTTAAAGGGCCTGGGGGGGACAGGCTGGACCCACAGCCCGTGGGTTTAGCCCCCAGCTCGCAGCCCCATGGCACCCCCGCAAGGCTCAGCCTGCGGCGAACCGCCGGGCGCTCAGACTCCATCTGCAGCGAAGTCCGGGGGTGGAACTCAGCTCTGAGCACTGTCGCACCCCTCTTTAGGGCGTTAGCTCGCTGACTGCACCCCCTTCTCTAACGGGCTCCAGCTGCACTTCCGGGAACTTGGAAGACTGAAGGTGGCTGCCCCGACACAATTCTGTGTCCCCCGAGGTAAAAGCAGCACCGTCACCTCCACTGCCCTGGGATCTGCTGGACAAGGGGCCCCCGGGCCCCGTCAGCTGGCCCCTGGCCCTGGACCCGTCACCAGGGCCCCTGTCATCTGGCCCCTGTCACCTGGCCCCCTGTCCCTGGGCCTGTCATCTGGCCCCTGTCACCTGGCCCCTGTCACCTGGTCCCTGTCACCTGGCCCGCTGTCACCTGGTCCCTGTCACGTGGCCCCCTGTCCCCGGGCCTGTCACCTGGCCCCTGTCACCTGGCCCCTGTCACCTGGCCCGCTGTCACCTGGTCCCTGTCACGTGGCCCCGTCTCCTGGCCGGTCTCCTGGAGAGCCCGAGCTGGGGCAGGGTGATTATCGCAGCCAGGGAGCCAGGAGATTGCACAGGGCCAGGAAGCAGAGGTGGGCGGGAGGGGCTACCAGCCTACCCCCAAAGGGAGTGTTCCCGTGAGAATCCCCACAAGGGCCACCCTGCCTGCCTGCCGGGCTGTGGGGGTGTGCTCACTGCAGACTCGCCTGCCCTGAGCCCTCTGCCGAGTTCGCCCTTAAGGAATCCAAAGACCCGCTAGGTGCTGTGACACCTCGGAGGGCCTGCGAGGGCTGGGGGTCCCCAGGAAGAGGGGGGTTCCAGGCGCCCTGCCCCAGCCACGGGAGGGGGGCGCTGAGCAGGGAGGAGACTCTGGAGAGGAGGCTGAGGGGGAGGAAGCAGGATGGAGCCAGGAGGAGGCCGGAGGGGCCCAGGGAGCAGAGACGGCGAGGAAGCGGCTCTGGCGTCCTGGCCCTGGACGGGGGACACAGACGGGGGACCTAGACGTGGGGGGACCCACGGGGAGGTGACTGGCAGCGCTGAACATGATGTGGATGTTGCTCTCTCCCTCCCGGACTGTCTGGCCACGTCTGACCCTTTTCTGTGGGTCCTGCTGGAAGGAGCTTTAGACTGTGGGGGGCTCAGGCCTTGCTCTGGGCCAGTCCCTCTGGGCGGACTTTTGCCACGGGGGGTCGGGTCACTCTGGGGGTCGGACTGAGACTCTGTTCTTTGTCTTCTCTGCGTTGCACACTCGCTGCATTAAAGTTTCTTTCCATGGAAGCTCTTACATGTTTGTCTTGATGCAGCGGCTGGCAGAGTCTATTTAGAGCGCACA